AAATGTCACAGTATCGATCATAATCCTGAATTTATCAGCAGAAATCCATGTTTTGAAGTCAGCCAATCAGCGTCGTTCAGCAATTCAGCATTCAGTAAAAAAATTCAGCGTTTTAGTATTACCCCTAGTTTTTTGTAAAAGAAAGCTTCCATGATTCCAACCGCCTCCAGATTATCAACTGATGTCACTAGTTACCAAGGCGATCGACTAATTGAGAATAGAAAATACGAGGATAAAAGGGATATGTAATGATGTCAGATTAACCAATGAACAAAGAGAAGCTGGAATCTTCTTTTTCATGCTCAACGAAATAATGATGTAATGATAATATAAGACGAAAGAAGTTTCTTGATTAACAGGTTTTGACGTAACTTTGATTTACTTTCATTTCTGATGCTTTTTTTCGAGAGAAACCATTTGTACTCTGTAAAGTTCACACACTGCCATCATGCAATCTATTTTCGGTATTTGCTGTGTGTTCTTGGCATCGTTTTTGTGATCACTGCACAGTCCAGTTGAAAATCCTACAGTTTATAAAAAGAATTTGATCGGTATTCATAAAATATTCCATTTTTACGTACTTCGTCCAGATTTAAAATTCACAATATAGTATTAATCTATCGTTATAATTTCTAGTTTTATTAAAACTTTATAAGACTCTCTGATACCATTTGATCTGCATTGATTATTATAAATCTACCCTTTCCAATCGTAATATACTTGTCTACGTAAGATATAATTTTCTATCGATCTCAACAACTTAAACAAGAATGTATTAACGCTGATTGACTTACATGAACTCTACTGAAAATATTGTTAAAGTGATATTTTGTTTAAAAGTCATTTTCGAAGTTTGACGCAGATAAATAAACTCAAACGGCTTATTCGCCAAATCTTGTTTAACGCTGCAGCTGTTGTTTGCGATGTCAGCTTCCCATCTCTGCCTGAGTCTGTTTTATTACATTCATATAATTGATTCCTTTTTTGTAAAAAAAAATACTGGATAAATGGAAAAAAGATTGTTATCGCATGAAGATTTCAAAAACAGTTTCATCTGCATGTTCAACTGCAACAGATATTTATTGTGTGTGAAGGAAATATATTGATTTAGACACTTTTCCGAGAATGTCTCCATTTGTTTTAGTTTGTTCGTCTTTTTCTTTAGATTTTGTTTTTATTTTCGCTTTTTATAGAATTTTATATAACAGAATCATGTGTTATTTGATGTTCTGATATCTGACAATTAAACTGTGTGGTTCCTTGAAGCTGAAAAAACGATTGCGTGAGTGCGCATGTTATTAACATTTTAAAATGAATGAATTTTACGTTCATTGAAAACATTTTTTTTATATATATAAGTTATTTAGTCCGTTCTTGCTTTCTGTCTCTTATTGGCAAAAAACATATATTATCTAACGTTTTTTTTTTTTTCTTGTGTCTACTCATTTGCCTCACGTGTAAATAACGTGTCAGTGTAACAGAACACGTTCTCAAAAGTACCAAAAATAAAAAGAAACAAAAACTTATAATACAGTTGTTATTTCATCATAGACAGCACTGAATAATGATGGGACGAAATGAAAAGAAAAAGAATAACGAATAGAGAGAAAACTGTTTGCTTATATGCCTTTGCAATCTGTTATTCATAACATCTAGAACACAAGAGAAAAACAAGTCTAATTCTAAATAATTTTGGAGAAATAATAATTACCCCGAAAAATAAATTCATCACTTGTAATAAAACGAAACAAAACGATGACTTATGATTCTAAAAAAGGTACATATATTTTTAGCATGTTTTCGATTCTATTATATCTAAGCTACACAATTCAACCCATCATTTTCTTCTCATTAACTGTTTTAATTCCATATTAATAGTTGTTTTAATATTACCAAAAAAAGCTAAATTTCCTAAAATTTACTGGTAAGTAGAGGAAGGCTTTGGGTAAAAAATATTTGACAGTCAATTTGTTTACAAAAAAGTGGAAATAAAACAAAAATCTACCTCTAAGACGAGTGTTGTGTAAAAGTATGATACTTGATTTTTTTCTTGTTTCCTATAGTGTATGACAGGAAGGTTGTTATCGGACGCACACAGTAAGTAAAAGAGAAGACATTCTCTCATAATTTTCGCATAAGACATTGATTAGAGACTACTGTGAAACAACGAGTTTTTCTCATTGTAATATCATAATATTCGTCATCATACTCTTTTGGTACATTCAATCTACTTTAGACACTCAAACAGCTCAATATGATACCTGTAGTCTGTTCAATAGAAAAATCTTCAAATACTAATCAGAAAATCATCTCAATACTTAGTCAAACTGTCTTCATAACACTCCAAATTCTATCTTCTCTTAAGAAGAACTCGTTGTTTAATATGCGGAGATTATGAGAGATTGTCTTCTCTTTTATTTACTATGCACTCAAAATAGAAACTATCCACTTCTACACTATAATTGAGTTCAAAATCATTTAGAATTTGAAACTTATATTACAAAGGTAGAGAATCTATGTCAATTAGTCTAAGATTAATCGGCGCATTAAACGAAGATAGGTGAGTTAGAATTCAGTATTGCTCAACAATATTTCATACATCAGCAGACTTTAACCTCTCTGATTTTGGTTCCAGCAGACACGTGATAATGGACGAGTCTATTGGAAACTTGTATAAATTTCTCCTGATTCTCAGATGCTTCTATGCCTATGATTCATTGGTCTTTAATTCCATAGTTGAGTATTCCAAGATTATATTTACTGAACAAATATTTGTTTTCACTAATACTACAACTATTTTATTGTTATTTTTGTTTAGATCCTTATAATGTTGCTAACATATTATAACAGTTTATTCAACCTAATTTTCCTTGCTATTATTGTTGATACAAGACACAGTAGGAAAAAATTTTTGCCATTATTTTAAAAAATGTCGTCTGATTTATTTTATGATGGACTAAATAATAATCATGATAATCACCATGATAATTCATCTGGTATCGGTACCGATAATGAAGATGAAGAACATGGAGATAATCCATCATCAGCTCCGAGACGATCAAGATTTTTTCGTTCAAAACGGAAACAACGTTTACGAGACGAACAATCAATAACCGAACCCAATTCTGTTGACAACTCTGCTAGTAATTATAACGGTTTACTCGTCCTATTGTCACTTAATATTGACTGCTGTGATAGATACAAAAATTTTTAGAAAACATTTTTTCTGATGGAAAGACAAGATCTTAGCTAACTGTCGAATGTATCCAAGCAAAAGTTGTGTAGTAGAAAAATCTAGGTCCTCTTAATGGAGCATTTTTCAATGCGTCAACAAGAGCATTTATTTTAAAGAGTAAAAATAAATTGACTTATCTAGATGTACCCGATACAGCATAATGTAAATACCGATGCATGGATAACGTTACTAGTTATATCAATCGACGGATCTGGATGCATTCGGTGATGTGATGATGCTTCGTCTATGCATTCTATGAATTTGTTCAACATATTCCTCATGTAAATAGTCTATGTTTTACTTTTTAAAATGGCTCAATGAAGGAGTCGAAATATCAAGATAAATTAAATAAAATTAGTAAATAAATCACTGCTACTGTACAAAAATCTTTTTCAATATATTTGTTTTCTTTACCTTTTTACTTTTGTTATCTTCTAGTTCCCACAAACGACGTTCCTGTAAATGCTGATGATTCACATGTGGAAAAGACAAACGATGATGAAAAAAAGTCGGAAATAAATGATAAAGATTCAGATTTATCCGTACCAGGTGGAGATGTATTTCTAGATAAACTAACAGATCTTGACACTGAACGTCAAACTTATTTAGCAAAAAAAGCTACATCACATGAAAATGAAGTGGATAATGTTAGTAATACAGTAATTTCGACATCGAATAAATCACCATTCTTATTAAATACTTATGATGATGTTGAAGATGAACACAATCGATCTGTTTATACTCGTCATCAACGTAAAAAATCTCAATCAGTCAAATTAGTTAAAGTAAATCCAAATGAGACACGTGAAAGAAAAGTAGTACGTTTTGCAGATGCAATGGGACTCGATTTAGCTAGTGTAAAAATTATAGCCACAGATGAATTACCACGGGTAAATATTGAACATTATTCATTCTTATTTTATGAATTTTTCATTTTTTATCTCTTTTTCTTTTAGGTTCCACCAGCAGCATTTAAACATTTAAACAAAGAAGATAAGAATCTAAATGATAATTCGGAAACAGAAATGCGAACAGTTGTTTATTTAACACCATTATTTGATAATCCTATGCATACAAACATGTTTCATAGTCGTTTATATAACGAAAAAGTTGTGTTAGAACAAGCAAATGCTATCGATAATAAAATATATGGTACAGTTAAATTATTTTCATTTGGCGTAAATAAAACTGTACTCATTCGTTTAACTGTTACAAATTGGGAATCATACAGTGATACATCAGCAACATATATTCCAAATTCAAATGATGGACTTTATGATCGTTGGACATTTGTACTTGAAATTAATCGAGAAAATATTAAAGCCGGAAATATTTTACAATTTGCCATTTGTTATGAGACATTAGGCGAAGAACATTGGGATTCAAATCATGGAATTAATTATAAGTTTGAATGCATTTCGAGAAATATACCATAATTTAAAAAAAAAGTTATTTTGTCATACAAATTTTTAATTAAATTGAATAAGTCAAAATTTAGATGTGAAAGGTAAATTTTCTATTATTGAAATAGAGTGACCATATTGATAGGATGTGACATATGAATTAATTTGTCACAGTTAGAATTTTAAAATCAAATTAATTATGTTTATCTTTCAGATCTTATTAGCAATATTCCGATAATTTGATTGCTAATGATAATCTTCTTTTTTTTTTGTTGTTGTTTATCCCTATTTATTTATTTGTTTTTCTATGCATAAATTTGTTAGAAAATGAAAGAAAAAGAGATTTAAATGGAGCCAAGTCAAAATGGACAACAATCATTTATTATTTCTAAAATAAAATTATGTCTTTCAGATACTTGTGTCTCTTTTTTTTTCATATAAACAAGCGTGGCGACTTGGATCAGTCTGGTGAATACCTTCTGTTCTTTGTATGTGTGTTACATAGTTGATTTGTAGAGTAGAATTATTTTTGTATTCTCTTTTTTTCATAGACAAAAGCATTTTTTTGTAGTTCATACGTTTGTACAGCATTTACGAAAATTATGACTTCTTTTTTAACTGAGCACCTATTTTTTAAGATATAAAACTTGTATAAAAAAGAAGGATACACCATCAATGCTCGGTTGACAACAATAGTAAAAATGTCAGAAAGACCTTCTAGAAATGTTCTGTTCAAAACATCCTTTTTACCTTTAAACCAGTAAAAAATAGTACGAAAATGAATTCAATATTGTTATTTTTTAAAACTGAGAAACGTATAAATGCTCGCTTATTCTAGTGAAAGTTTCAAAAAAAACCTACCATCTGTTTTGCTACAGACACCAATGATAGTCATTGGGCATATAGAATTCGTCAGTATTGGATACTGCATAAATATCTTCAACATTCAGTGAAAGAATATGGATCGACAAATTTGTTTAGTACTATCCATGGCATTTATTGACACGAATGAATATTTGAACTTTAGAAACAATTCCCTTCTTTTTTTAGTTTATGAGTCGACATTCTTATTATTCAGAAGATAACAATATAGCTGTACATTACAACTCAATCGTATAGATTAAAATTAATTTAAATCGTATAGATTTGATTAATTTGAATAGTCCAAGGATTTTTCTATCAGATGAGGTGAATATCGAGATTTCATGAAAGAGTTTGATAATAGAGTTACTCAATCATATTAGAGGCAACTCAATCGTATAGATTAAAAACAACGTATTCAAATCGAGTAATATTATATAAACAGACTAGAAGAAGGAAGAGTACAGGGTGTTCTATAATTATAGGACTCCCTTTATTTTTGACTTTTCTGTTTTCGAGTAATAGCTGGAACAAATTTGAATACTGATTTGAATAGTCCAAGGATTTTTCTATCAGATGAGGTGAATATCGAGATTTTATAAAAAAAGTTTAATAATAGAATTTTTGAAAAATCTGAAGCCTTAGAAAACCAAGTGTTTGGTTGTTGATAAAAAAATTTGCAAATCATATACCTTGCTAGAACAAAGAATTCTGAGCAAATTAAAATGTCTCTCAGCTATCTATGACGTTTTTTCATCGAACTGCAGTCGATTTATGGAAGGCCACAAAGAGTCAAAGTCACCAAGTTCTACCGGAAAACAGCGAAAATATGCCTTTGTGGCTTTCCATAAATCGACTGCAGTTCGATGAAAAAACGTCATAGATAGCTGAGAGACATTTTAATTTGCTCAGAATTCTTTGTTC